CTTCTTCTTCTTGCTTGTTCTCTTCTTTTTTGCATAATCATCACCCCTCCTTGATCCTTTACGTTTCTTTACACGAGGAGAATCCCCACTATTTTCCCTACTGGAGGACCGCCTTCTAGCCTTCTTCTTACCACCTTTCACATCCTTCCTATTACAAGATCGGGACCTTCGACTTCTATAATCATCCTCAGAACTAGAGGATGAAACGGACACCAAACTTCTCGAATCACTATCATCCGAATAAGAAACACAACCGTCACGCTGAGATCGAAGCTTCTTGGACTTGCTTCTCCTGCTCTTAACCCTATTTCTCTTCCTTGTTCGCGACTAAAATGAACAATGCACATGCATACATAGGGAGAGAAATTAAGAACCCTTTTTCAGCCTACCTTTTTATTCAAACATTAAATGATATTTTTAGTTACTAACAAAAGGGTTATCAAATAGCCAATCAAATCACCCAATTAAATACACACGAACCCAAAGTTCAAATTTTTAAATTAAACCGGAAAATACCAAAAAGTATCAGTCTGAATTTCTTAAATTTCAGTTTCCTAGAGCCAAATAAACCCAAAGCTTAAAATTTTCAATCTTCTAAGAACAAAATACCAAAAACATGAGCCTAAAGATCTCAAATTCCTTTAATATTCCTAAGTTTCCTACGCATCCAAACAAAGGGTAAATCTTTAAACCACTCAACTATGAATTGCAGGCAATAATTGACCAAAAAAATAAACAGCAAAAATGAAACCCATCAAAGAAAAATTATTCGCATTTTAAAAGGGAGAAAGAAAGTACCTGAGATGAATTTTTGGAACGTTTCTTCTTTAAAGAAGATGATTTTCCCATCTCTGATTGTTCGCTTTTTCTTTACCTTTTATCTGCAACACCAAAAAACAAAGGAAACGAGAACACCCAAAAAAGTAGAAAGGAAATCAACAACAAGAAGGTTAATTGATGAATAATTAAATGGAAAAGAAAAGATATTTCGAAGACAGAAGAAGAAGAAGAAGAAAGCTGTGCTTTGCTTTCTGCTCTTTGGAAGAGTTTGGCAAACCTTAAACAAATGGATAAAAACAGGATGGCTCTTGACATTATCAAAACCGGCTTGTCCTTTTTCTGCTTCTCATAAAAGTTATTAATTTTATTTTCTACTTTACATTTTATATATAATTATTAATTTATTATCTTACACATAAATAACAAAGTTTTAATTTTAAATTCTAAATAATAATAATACGGAATAAATTATTATGTTGTAGTGTGATTAATATATAAAAATAAATTTGAAAACATTAAAAAAATAACACAACCATTAGTTTATATATTTATTTGTCTTTTATTTTTGTTGATGTGAACATGGAATATACATTTCATTTCCCAAAATTTTCTTTATTTTTTTTTAATCTTGGGAAAACCTTCAATATAAGATATTGTATATGTTAAGCAATCTTATCAAATAAATTATGTATCCAAAAATTCATGTCAAACTTATTTATTTGTGAATAAAGGGATTTTATGTTAGCATTAGCTAAATAACTTGAGAAAGTTCGGGTAGTTTCACATTTACTTGTCTGTGAAGTCAAGCTCATCCTGGAATTGTTAACAAGGGGGGAAAGTGGAGGGAGGCATCAATTATTATTCTGTTGTCTTTTAGGGCAAGGTCCCAAGGTAAAGAAAGAACAAAATTTCAGGTTAAAGTGGGATATGTAGAATCCAGAGTGATATGCCAGAAACAGCAGAGAAGGTTTAGTATCAGAAACATCAAGGGATTGAGAGTAGCCTTGGAGTTATCAAAACAATATCATGAATTAAACTTGTAACATAATTGAAGTACTTTCTCAGAGGAATCAAGTCGCAATTCCTAATCTTCACTCGCAATTATTACATTATTCTCAGATATGTACAAAATTACACCTGCTTTTGGTAGATTTACTTCATGAAACAGTTGTTACAACCTAAGCATCCTCGCTGTCACTCATACTAGGACGGGTATCAATGTATACTTCTGATGAGAAGTCGATTTCATCAACGATCCTCCCCCTGTCTCATGCAAACAACAAATAAACCTATACGATGTTTCATTTCGACGACAAATAATGAAACCAAAGGTAAAAAGTTCTACCTCTCGAGAACAAACTTTCCTTCTTTGTACTTTTGACTCTTCTCATGTGCTGCCTCCTGCCCAGCAAAGTTGGTTAGATTTGATTATGACTACATCTTGGGTACTAGATTTATCTTTAATAAATAAGTGTATAACATAGAGAGAGATATTACATATTTCCAGCCAACAATTTGTCCACAGCTGCAGCAAAATATATCTGCCACAGTATGCATTCCAGAAATCATCATCCTGTCTTCTAAGGCTCCAACAGTTATGTTCACCCTGAAGTATGAAACTCTAAACAATAAGCAACTCAAAGCATCCATCCGATTATGAAACATTTCTCAGGAAAATGTCCCTTATAACATTTCAAAGATGCTAGGCTTTTGTAAAGAGTACAGTATTATAATACAATAGTTTCACTATTGCAGATATCATAACAGCTAGAAGAATTTGCCAGCAGCTTTAGGCGGTTGAATAAAAACAGTAAATTCCCTTAAAAAAAAATCAGTAAATGAAATGATTAGCCATCAACTAAAGACTTTCAGTCAGTCAATCAATCATTGAAGAAATTGTGAGATCTTACGCATTATTGAAGAGGTAGGCTTTCCCCCTGCGACAATGGAAAGACTGAATAAATAGGGAAAATGGCAAAATTTGTTAGCAAACTAGCAGGGAGTTCAACTGTATGCATCCTTTATATCAGAATGAAATAAGAAAATGAAAAATTAAGAAGCATGGTGTGCAGCTGAGAGAACCTAGTATATATCAATAAACTCTCCCTCACACACTCAGAGAGATGAAAAACTACAGCAGAAATATATGTGAGAGAGCAATAGAGAATCAACTAACCATCTAAAAATACAAAAAGAAACACCAATTTAACAGATAATTAGCAATAACGATTGATACTCTGCAGTGGTCTAAAAGTACATCTTGGTAATAACGATTGATACTCTGCAGTGGTCTAAAAGTACATCTACATACATGTCCATCAGAGGTGCTTTATATTGATACTGAAAGTATATTTGTTATTTAGCTAATCTTACAGATTTCAAAGCCTGCAGCATCCCTATATTGTGTAGTTTTCAGGATTGAATATATCATCTTAATCTTGAATGGGGTCATTGGAAGAGGTGGAAACCATCTCCACAAAAAATGGGATTGGGAAATGATCTTGGTAATTCTTGTGTTGTCATGGGGTCATTGAGAAGGGTGGAAACCATCTCCATAAATAATCGGATTGGGGATCAATCTTGGTGATTCTTGTATTGTCCTATTTCCAAGGTTGTCCCTTGCTGCTATCCTTGGATTGCCCATAGAAAACTGATCAGGAGAACACATGGACCTATTTAGAAGCCCAGGCATGCGTACAAACTCCTTAAAATTGCTCAGAAATAAGGAAATACCAATTAGCTTTGAGTAAGTACATGAACATAGTTTGTCATTACTGAGAATAATATTTCCATTCAATTATGTTTAACAACAAAAAAGAACCCTTATTTTCACACCTGTGTATATTCTATTTTCTTGGAATTCTAAGGTATCCTAGAAGATGGCTTTGTTGGCTTCAACTTAAAAGAACGACTGACTATAACCAGGATACTAAGTGGTGTTACCAGGGATCACTCATTACAATAAAGAAAAAGATACATGGGAGAAAGAAATAGCACAACAAAGAATTTTCAACATGGAAGGTTCCACGATCTCCATACTGCAGACAACAATCCCCAGAACCAATGTATTCGGTGAAAGCAATGTATATTTAGAAGGTAAATCAAAAACTTCAGTGCACAATGTGCATGCAATGCATTTAACATTTGAAACAAGCCAAGCAAGGACACAAGGCATAATTGATACATCAAACAACAGCTAACAGGAAAAGCAAATTAACATATAGGTAAGGTAATCTTCAGAACACAAGGCCTTTAGGCACGACATAAATAATTACATCAAGCAAAGAAAATTTCCCATCTTAAGAGAACACAAGACCCTTAGGTAAGGTAATTTTGGTGTAACTCTTTTTATGTAGTTGATTCTGAACTGTGATATCCACATTTGTGATCCCATTTAGTTCCTGAATGAATCAGCAAAATTTGATCATAAAATTACTAATTTAATAAATTCTGAATGAAATTTCACAATTTTTTCTTTTTTTTTCCCCCAATTCACCACCTTTTCTTGCTTCATTGTTCAACTATTGCCTTCCTAAACTTTTAAGGTTCTTATATATCATCTTTACTTAAATGCCAGTTACATTTGCAAAATACACTCATATTCATTACACAACCTATCATCAACAACCATCACAAAACCAAATAGTACTTCTTCACCATGCTTCTAATGTTATCTTGCTATCCACACATCAAAAGTTCTCAACTTTAAAACTTTCCTCCATCGTTAATTTTCAAAAGAACCAACTTTTACCACCAAAAAGGATTGTTCGATGATAATTGTAAAACAAATGGCTGAGAAATGAAAAGAGAAAGAGAGAGAAAAAAGTGGGTACCCTCGAAACAAGATCTTCAGGGAGAGCTAAGTGAGTTCTACAAAACTTGCATCTGTAAGACCTTCCATCGAGCTCAACCACAAATATCCTTCCCATTTTACCCTTTTCTTTTATGTTTTGTTCCTGTTCTGTTCTTTTAACAGCTATGGCAGAATCTCAGTTTCAAAGATAAATAAAGTGAGATTACTGAGGTGGGGAGGGATTAGGTGCAGAGGTACATGAGTTGTACAGTTTATGATAAGAGCTTTGGTGGTGATAAGGATGGTGGCAGTAAGAAGCCCATGAAACATTTTAGTCGAGTCTCAGCTTTGGTTAGGTTGGATTGGGCTTATGGTATCCAAAAGAATCCAATGAAGTTATTGCTCACAGGTATCTACATCCATCCATCGGATTTGTTCTTGATTAAAAGTAAATGCCAAGAACCACATGATATGTATCTATGTGCCATGAGAATAGAATTTGGCAAAAGTGCTAAATTGCTTAGTAATTATTGATTTCTCACACCCTTTAGTTAATAATATCAAATTAAACTTGAATAATTGGTGTTAAAAACAGATTAATGTCTCGTTCGATTTTAACAATACCGATTAAAATAGTGAAATTATAGTCATTTTTCCATTCAAAAATTCTTTTTTTTATGGCTTCATTGACTCTAATAATCAATTCAATAAGAGGAGCCTAAGGAAAGCAGGATGAGAAAGAGGCAAGCACTGGGTTTGGTGAAAAGATTGGGGACTGACTAGTTGAGACAAGTTTTGGGAATTAGGAAGGAAGGAACTATCCAATGCATCTGGCTACACGGTTTTTGCCGCGTAGTTGATGAGCGCCGTCGTGCTTTTCTCACTAGGAAATGATTTGGATTCATTTTCATTTCAAACCTGATACTTATTTAATTAAATATAATATAATTAAATCCCAGGGTAATGTTGGTTTTTTATTTTCTTTTTGAGAAAAGGACAGATTAATAAAAAATATATAATATTGTAAAAATGTTTGAATTATTTAAAAAAATTTAATTTTTTTATTTTTTATCATGTTTAATCAATTATTAATAATTGATTAATTATTATTAATTAAAATATTATTTATTATTTTATTTAGATAATATTGATATGACACATGTCATGTGATGTTAGGATTAAGAAGGTAATGAATGATAATTATTATTTTAATTAATAATAATTAGTTAACAATTAATTCGAATGACTTAATTGATTTAAATTTTAAATACAGGGTTTGATCAAATGTAATAAAAAATATAAAATATTTTAATATTTTAATAATTCAATTTTTTTCAAAAATTATGTAAATAAAATAAAATAACACTAAAATCTTGTTTAGTCTGACTCGTTTTTTTATATTAAGAGCTATTATGAAAATCTTATAAAAAATAATAATTAAAATTAAGTTAAATTATTTAATAAATTTATTTTTATAAGTTTTTTTTTATCGATAAGTTGTTTGATAAAATAATTTATATAAATTTTAATATTGATTTAAATTATCATAAAGAATATTTTATAAATAACTTTCAATTAATCATGAATTTTTTTCTTCACGATGTAAAAAAGTTATTTTTATTTTTTATCTATTTATTAGAATAATTTTTTTAAAATATAAAAAGTATTTTTATATAATATAAAAAAAGGTGTATTTTTTGAAAAGATAATGTTGAGATTATTTTCAATAGATGAAGATATTTTTGTAAAAAAAATATTAAAAAATTAATGTATTTTTAAAAGAAGAAAAGAGAGTTTTTTTGGCAGTTTTTTTTAGATTTTTTTTAAAAAATAATTAAATTTTTTTTAAAATTTTAATTAAATTAATTTTTATTTTTAAAAATAGATAAATTGAAAAAAAAAACTAAAAAGTACTAAGCTTTGGGTTTGAGTCACACCTATGATTAAGGCTTGTTAATTAAATTATTATTTTAAAAAATATTTACTTAATATGTTACTTTTAGTAAATTTAAAAATAGACAATGTACTGACTATATAATTAGATGATGATTTTAATGCATTCAAAAATATTATTTGTATTCAATTTAAACAGTATTGAATTTATATAAATATCATCTTGAAGCTTAAAGAATTTCGATAAATAATATATTTTTTCTATAACTATGCAGAGAATTTAATTTTTATAACTTGTAAGTATATTAATCTTTTTCTGTTTTAATGTAAAAATATAAATAAAATCATACATTTTTCATAAATGCATTTCTATATTTTGATAGAATTCCCACAAATCCACGGAAATAAATGGGTTCAGTCAGTCAAGTCACACGGCAAGTCAGTAATACTCCTCAGCCGCCCAAACTGTGCCACGTATAAAAAAACAAAAAACAATTTAAAAGTTCTTAAAAGGGGTCACATTTCTACATTCAAAAAATATCCACCACGTGTCACGCAACCGCGTCGCCAGTCCCCATCACTTGCTGCTCCCAACAGGTCCAAACGGCGACGCGCCGGCTTACCTGTCACTCACCTTCGGACATGTCACCCCAAGCCTACACGCCCTTTCTCAGCCGCCCAAAAGTAAACGTACAAAAGTTTCACGTGAAACGAGACAAGTGGCGAATGATAATTGGGTAAGGCAGTTATTAAATTTAATTTAGAATTTCATTTAAAAAATTATCTAAACAGATGCACTTATAACATTTGACAATAAATAAAAGTTCTGTTGGCGGATTCAAGACGACACGAAGACTGGGGCCCACTGCTAAAGCGGCCGCCGGGGTCACCTCTTCGAAGAGTGTTTCACGTGTGGACCCCTTTTTTTTAAAAACAAAATTATTACAATAAAAAGATTTTATATTAATTAAACAGAAAAAAATTATTTACATTGATTTACTCGTTTGGTTAGGTAAAGTCTACAAAGGGTAACTAAGTGCTAGCACGGGCTGCTAAATGTATAAAAATGGTAGCCACTAGACATTCCATATTACAACGTATGATGTATTATTATAAATTGTCAAAAAAAAAGAAAAAATTGGCTTTATTATTTTTTCCTATTCCTTTTCCTTGTAACTCCCGATTTATAATATAAAAAAATGTAATACTGTAAAATAATTAAGTGGGCGGCGAAGATGCACGTGACGACAACCGAAATCCCGACATGAACCTCGTCAACACGGAATTACTGCCCCCCGCGAAAATTGGACCCCATTACCCATCTTGATTCCCGCCTCTCACTTTCCGCCGTCGATTCCTCCCTTAAAGAATTCCATTACCAAGTGCGTCCACACGCTCCTCACTTCTCAACCCTCGGATCTAAAACCGCCCATGGAATCAGATACAAGACGGCTTTGATCTCCAGTAGATATTTTTGATTCGGCGCAGCAGCCGCTCTTCTTTTAATTTTTTTCATTACGTACTGAGTGCGGTTCCGTACGTAATGGGACCCGCGGTGATGTCATCCAACATGATTTTCTTACACCCGCCGAACCTTTCGCTAAGCAACCTAAACTTTGACAGAGACGTGTCGCTTGGTTGCCTGGATCCCAGATAGAGTAACAGTTACAAGTAAGCTTTTATTTCTTTTTTGGTTAAAAAAACAGAACGGAAAATTCAGAAGAATAATGAAAAATTTACCGACAGTGAGTTAAATGTGATATTAAGGAAATAAATTTTTATTAATACATTGTTTTTTCAAATTTAATCAAAATAGTTATATGAAATGAACATATTAATCAACCTCTTTGAAGATACCGGATCAGAGAAAATTTTTTATGTATTAAAATTCAAAACATTTATAGTAAATTAATTATAATTAACAATTCTTTTAAAATTATCGAATTTATTTTCATTATAATAAATCTATTTTATTATAACATTAATAATCAGTTTGTTTGGTAACGGTATTTGATCTCCATTTCCACAAAAATTAAGTAAAGAGCTAGATAAATCAGATAAGAAAAACATTTAATTTCGTTATTACAATTTAATCATAATAAGAGTAGAAACAACATTGAGAAAATTTTCTCAAGTTGCCAAAAATAGATCTTCAGGAGTTACATTGTTATATACATTACTTGTCAGCTTTTAACCCAAAAAGAGAAAGCATAAGAACGCCAAAACGCAGAGAATTAAATCTCACAACGACATCCAACAAAAAGGTAAAATCAATCCATCTCAGCTGGCAACAGATTAAGATCAAGATCAAACACTCTCCGTTGCACCCCTCCTTCAAAATCAACAACCGACGATGACGAATCCGAATCGCTCTGGGCTCCACAGGTGTCCGGGCAGCCCGAACCGGCAGATGCAAAAGCATCGAAGAAAGACACCGGACGATGCGTCGTCACGGGAAGCGAAAAACACGCGCTGGCAAGAGTAAGGTCCAGCGGCGGCGGAGAAGAAGACTCCACGGTGCTGCTCTGGCTGGGGCTGCGGTTGAAGTCGTTGTTGTTGTTGTCCGTGAAATTAGTCTTGGCTTTAGCGCCACGGAACTCGCGTGCCGCCGCATCGTATGCACGCGCTGCTTCCTCGGCTGTGTCGAAGGTGCCGAGCCAGACTCGGGTCTTTTTTCTTGGGTCCCGGATCTCCGCCGCGTAACGGCCCCAAGGGCGCTTTCGAACGCCGCGGTAACGGATCTCCTTGGAAGTCGGGTCGGAAATCGGGTTAACCGGGCTGGGTTTTGATCTCGGAGCCATAGCTTTCCTTTCTTCCTTTTCAAATTGTAGAATGTAAGAAACTGAAGTTGGTTTACGGAAGACGGAGATGAGGGGGGCCGGCTTATATAGAGGAAGCTGAGCAACGAAACGCATCGTATCGGCGCTTTGTTGTGTGCAGTCAAAGCAGTATCTGTGGGAGTTGGTTTTCTGTTGCCCGAACCACTTTAAGTTCGATTTCGGCTACTAATCATTTTGCACCACTTGTTTCTGATAGTATCAATTTAATTACATCTGTCATCGTAATTACTTAATTTGTCTTGTTTTTGTTGTCCTTATTTTATTCTATTCACTATTGCTAAAAGATGTCTAAATTACGAATTTTGGCAGTTTTATAGCGCTAGTTTTCTGTTTTTTAACAAGTTATATAATTAAAAGAAAAAAGAAAATTATGCATCGTATGAGGGAAGGCATGACAGTTTCATAACAAATAAAGCAATTACTTTTTAAAAAAGGTAATCACAAAATTATTTATTCATTGAAAGTTAATTTTTTATGAGTATATGAAAGTTTATTAATAGTATGTTTTAATTTTTATACTTAGAAATTAAATTCAACATTTAAAAATTAGAATAATTATCTCATACATTTTTTAAGTTAATTAAAATTATTATTTTAAAAGGTTAAAATGGTTCCTTTCAGGAAAAACCATAGACGTATCCCAAAACCGCGTTCAAGCACCCATGCATGCGTTCTGACAAGTGTGAAAATCTGAGAGAATAATCCATTACTAACGTAGTATCGGTTGTACCAGATTCTAGTGACTCAGTCAGCAAAGTCTTTGACTGCACTAATCCACAACCATATTATGAAGTTAATTAAAATAAATATTATATAAATCCCAACTCGTAGCCGCCCTGCCGCAACAAAAAGACACAGTGGGTCCACCCTGCAATAATCTTAAGACGCCACGTGTCAAACGTTGGCAAACGGGTTTATTTTGGGCGGCGTCCGTTAACGGCGGCCAAGACGGCGATTTTGCCGTTGCTTTGTTTGGTTCTCGTCCAGATTAACGGAAAAGGCACTCAAAGTGACGGCGGTTTTTTTATTTATTTTAAATTTTTTCTTTAAACGATTTTGGTCGGTATTATTTGGGGCGCTCATGCCGCGTGAGACGGATCTCGTAATTTTCTGGAACTCGCTTGGAAACTGCTGTCGGCTTTGAAGTGGTCAATGGGATCGAACGGCTGCAAGTGATTTGGTTGTCTGGTTGTGATATTGACACGTTTTGTAGTGGAGTAGGAGTAGTAGACTTGAATTGACGTGGAAATTTATTTTCATCCATCCAAAAATATTTTTTCTCATTTTCTGAATAAAAACAAAAAAAATCCTTAATGCAATTATTATAGGAAAAAAAATCAAATAAACGCGACCGTTCAGAATTGTTTCCTATAGAGTATAGAGTTCATGTACATAACAATTTGACCATTATCTAGAAAAAATTCAGTTATAATCATGATGGATCTTAAGAAATAAGTAGTATTAATAAAACAAGTTTCTCAAATATATATGGATAATTACGTATCATGCATAAAGATAACTTAATCAATAAAATTGGTTCGTCTTGATAATAAATATTTTGAATTCCAATATTATTAATAATTCTTTATTAATAATAATTTTAAATGTGCACTCTTTATTTGATATGTCGTACCTTAATCTTAGCATTGGCATTGTATCTAAACATATGTATCATATCTTATTTTCTACAAGAATATTTTACTTTATCTTGATAATTCGTGTGTTTTAATTATATTATGTAAACATAAAATATTAATAGTTATATAGATAAAATATTAATACGATTTGATTAATTAAACTTATTAGAATTTTAAATATAAATATAAATACATTTATTAAATTTTACACGAGACGATTTGTAACTTTTTTAAACAATTAAAATTTTAAATACAAATAATAAGATTAAATTACAATGCATTCAATTATAAATAAAATATAATTTTATCCTTTAAATAAAAAATAATTTATAAAAATAATTTATTATAAAAGAATAATCTCTCTAACACATAATAAAATCAACTAGTTTCAACATAAACCATAATTAAAAAAAAAAAACCTACTTGTAAGAGGACTTAAATGAGTCATATTTGACTTACAAACGTGTTAGGTAGACATGTTTATGTAATTAATTAAATAAATCATAAATTATATAAATAATCAATAATATGATTAATTAAACATAATTTAAACAGCACTTTGATAAATTAAAAGTGTTTGACAGATTGTTATGTCATAATCGTACTGATATGATTAAAACATGAGATTGATAATCTTAAACCAAATTTGCTTAACTCCATATTGTATATAAAATTCCCTCCCTCATTTTCATTCCTCAACAATGCGCCCCATATTCAAATGCCGATCGTTAAATTCCCTTTCCCGGGGAACCATCCACTGGAAATTCAAATTCCCGATATCCCATTTTCATTTCACCCCAATCCCTCGAAACGAAGCCACAAATCCCACCTTTCATTTTCTGGGTACGATTAAGAGGCCTCCTTTTCTTCGTTCATTTACTAGTTCTGGTGAAAGCATTGACTTTCAGCAATTCCCAGATGGAAAAAATGTTTTGGAACTCCAAAACATTTTAAATAACCATAGAAATAGCTCAATAGAGGAGATTGAGCAAGCTCTTGATCAATGTGAGGTTACAATGACAGAGGGTTTGGCCTTGGATTTGGTTCGGCGGAACCGGTCTGATTGGAAACTAGCTTATGTTTTCTTCCAATGGGTGTCTAAGAAAGGTGAAAATTCACTTGGTTTTGATGTTTACAATGAAATTCTGGACGTTCTTGGAAAAATGCATCGTTTCGAAGAGCTAAGGAAAGTGTTTGATGAAATGCTTGAAAGAGAAGGACTTGTCAATGAGGGGACATTTAAGATTTTGCTTCGTAGATATGCTGCTGCAGATAAGGTGGAGGATGCGATGGGGTTGTTTAATAGGAGGAAAGAATTCGGATTCAAGGATGATTTGGTTGCGTTTCAAGTTCTTTTGATGTGTTTATGTAGGTATAAGCATGTTGAATTCGCGGAAACTTTGTATCAATCGAAGAGGAGAGAGTTTGGTTATGATATTAAGACAATGAATATTATTCTCAATGGATGGTGTGTTTTGGGGAATGTACATGAGGCTCGAAGGTTTTGGAAGGATATAATTGAGTCGAAATGTAAGCCGGATTTGTTTACGTATGGGACTTTTATAAATGCGTTGACAAAGAAGGGGAAGTTAGGTACTGCAATGAAGTTGTTTCGAGGAATGTGGGAGAAAGGGTGTGACCCTGATGTGGTGATTTGTAATTGTGTTATTGATGCTCTTTGCTTCAAGAAGAGGATTCCTGAGGCTTTGGAATTGTTTAGGGAGATGGGGGAGAGAGGTTGTGTCCCGAATGTTGTAGCTTACAACTCACTTATCAAGCACCTATGCAAGATTCGGAGGATGGAAAAGGTGTATGAGATTTTGGATGAGATGGAAGAGAAGGGAGGGTGTTTGCCAAATGATGTAACTTTCAATTACTTGCTCAAGTCATTGAAGAAACCAGAGGAAGTTCCTGGCGTTTTGGAGAGGATGGAGAGATATGGTTGCAACATGTCTGGTGATACATACAATTTGATCTTGAAGTTGTACATGAAGTGGGGTCATGAAAAGGGCGTTAGATGTACATGGGATGAGATGGAGAAAAGTGGTTTGGGACCTGACCGGCGTTCTTACACGATAATGATTCATGGTCTGTATGACAAGGGAAGCACTGAGGATGCTTTGAGCTATTTTAATGAGATGACATCTAAAGGAATGGTGCCAGAACCAAGGACTGAGATTCTGGTGAATGCCATGAAGGACAAGTTGAAAGAGCAAGAAGGTGAAAATGAAAGAAAAGAACCAGGGAAAACTGGCAAATCACTTAGGCCTAGGTCTAAAGGGAGAAAGAAGAAGAGAGCTGGGTAACGCTTGTTTTAGAATTGAACCATTAGGTTACTAATGGAAACCCAGAGGAGGTTGGTGTTTCTGGTCTATCAGTGCCGTGCCAATCCTTAAAGACTATCATTGAAGAGAACCCATATTCTTTCACCCAATTTCTAAGGATAATATTTTAACCTTCGGTTGCTTGGGTTTATACACTATCATGTTTTACTCATTTGCTTATTCTTAACTTCTTTGAGATTTAATCTTGTCAAAGAGAAAGTGATATTGGTCACAAAGAACTTGAAACAATTAGAAACCTCCTTTAACTTCTTTGAGCTCAAGTTACTGCTATCAATCAAGGTCTTTCCAAAAATCCATTTCATGTTAAACACAAAGTTGAGAAATTATTAATATGCAAGACAGCATATAAATATATACATGAAGACAATATGCAATTGCCTTGATAGGGACAAAAATGACTGTACAAAACAAATGGCATGAAGCGTAACCCTGTCCATTCTTGCTTGTCTAAATTCTGAAGTACCTAGAATTAGCAGAACTTGTGTTGATCCTCGTAAGTTTTTGAGAAGGACAGATCTAACCTAAGAGACCTCCACAGACAATTCATTTCACCTCTTCAAACAGAACATGCTGCTGCACGTGAGGGTCATATTTACGAAATTCAAGCTTTTCCTTAATCTGCCTACTCTTCTTCTTGGCATAGAAAACACCTGTCCCAGCAGCTGAGACAAGCCTGACAACTTTGAATTCCTTCTTCTTCTTCTTCTTCCCCTCCCTCCCCTTCCTCTTCTTGGTTCTCTTCCTCCTCCTCTTATTCTTCTTTCCTCTATCACCACCCTTTTTTCTACTCAATTTCTGCAGTCAAAATCATATCACATATTTTGGCAAACTTGAAAATGGTAAATACCGTTCCCATACTTTTCTATGAAGGGAAAACATGGAATATAAACATCGAAAGCATAAATTGTACAGAGAACTTCATCATCCAAAAGGAACAATTGGTTATATTAGTAATGTATGCTAAGTCTGCAAATATTCAGCAACCACCAAAAGCATTGCTTGAAGATCAAATCATGACTTCCTCAACATTCTTCTTCTTTTTCCTTCTTTACTTATATACTATTCTACTCTTCCAGGCCCAAATACCTCTACATATAAGAGAGAAGTTGGAAACCGATAGCATTACATCACCAGAACATTCAAAGGATCAGAATAAAGAAACCAATAAATTTGATGATGGAAAACGAAGCACCAAAGCATCAAATTGCTGAAAGGTGGTACCTTTCTCAGGGAAGAATTGGGAGCATATCTTCTGGCCATGCCAACAACAGTATAATGATATGACCTCTGAAATGTGGTCATGGACAGACATCCTACAATCAACAAAGACCCAAGTTACATTTTAACATTTTGATCCATTCTAATCGCCATAAAAACGTAAGAAAACAACCTCCAGTCAAGATTTTTAAAAAAGAAAAAGACCCAGGAGAGAGTTGATGGATACGGGTTACGGTTTTTTTTTGGGTAAAGGTTATACCTTTGGAGAAGAAACTATGAGAGAGATTTGTGGTGAAGCTGAGAGACTTTGAAGGTCCAAGATTGAGCTGACAAGAAGGGAAGTTGTTGAGTTGGAGATATCTTGGTTGGCAAGCGTAAGCAAGATCAAAGAGAGATGAGATAGCAGCGGTCGCCATCTTTCTATTTCCCTTGTTTGTCTCACCGTCTCTTTATGGGAAAATGTAGAAAATATTGTTGACTACCTGAATTGTCGAAAGGAATCCATGTGTAAATTTAGGAATTACCCTTTGGGATTCCTTGGATCACCCAGGACAAGAATCTAATTAAATATAAGGCCTGATGGAGGGGAAGGTCTTGAAACTGAAGGATTAGCAGTAGTCAGGTGATCCCCTATACAGTTAGAAGACAAACATGGCTAGATTTTCATTTGCAAGCCTTTTATTTATTTATAAATTATTGTTCACTAGATATTGGTCTAGCATGATGGAGTTTAAGGAGAAACACGGAAATTTTAGGCAACTTAAGAATGTCCATTAACAATAAAAAAAAGAATATTTATTATGTTCTCATAAGACCAAGCATGTTGAATTATTACTCTTGAAGTATCTGATTCATACCACATTATGCTTTGCGGTGCTCGTGCCATTCAGATTTTTGAGAATCCTGGTTGCAGTATTACAACTTAGTTCGTGAGCAAGTTCATTGAAAGAGAGAGAGGGAATGCTTGGTGAGACAGATTCTGGAAGATACAACTGGACATGCTGGTTCAATTCAGAAGTATCAGCAATGTCCAGAAAATTTACAAACTCAACATAACATGATCTTCAGTCAAATTAGAGAGAAGATGAAATAGGTTAAAGAGAAATGCATTTAAGTAACAAAGCAGAAGATGGTATAACAAAAAATAACAGTTAGGGTTCTCTGCCTAAGAAACAAAAGAATGATTTCTCAACGTGCTCATCAGTCAACTATGCGGCATTTCCTGCTGAAGCTGGGGTATACCAGCCATGGTGGATCTCTACAGCCTTCTTTCTCCTAGCAAGACGTGACTTTCTGCGTGCTCCAGTGTTCCTATGCAGTGTTCCCACTTTTACTGCTTTATCGATCACAGAGTATGCCTCGGCAATTAGTTTCTCAATTGAGAAGATTTCTTCAGCTTGTGCATCAGGTTTTTTCCTGAGTACATCCAGTGCCTCCAAAACCTTGAGAAAAAGAACAAACGTCAGCAGGCACTTCATGGACATTATGAATCATCTCAGAACAGGCTACAACACACATTTAATCAGAACTTTGCCCAAGTTGCTTACTTCTACCAATTTACTGCACATTACATCATTAAAAATACCATAAGATGATAATAAAGGCATGGAAAGGAACAAAGCTGCAGATAGAGGGCAAGTTATCTCTTTCCTAAGGTTTGCTTACATTCCACACTACAGGAAAATTGCATTAAGGAGGGAAAAATGAGAAACCATATCTCGGCTGGTGGCCATTCCCCAGCAAGTAACAGATATGATATTGTTTCTGCTTGTAATTTCCAGTTACATAGGCTGCATAGCACTACCAAAACTCTTCCAAACACTAAAACTGTAACACAGTCATCCATTCTTTCCCCTGGCCTCTAATTTCAGCAATGCTCCTTTAGCCTAATCAACGTGCAGAGTACCATCCATTAATGAGAACCACACATAGTCAAATTGGCAGATCAAATATTTTGGATTTGAGATAAGCAATGACAACTGAACATATTAGTATCACACATACTTCATTGACATGGAAAAAAATTATCCAGCAAGATTAACTTTTGGTACAATAACTCCATTAAGAGATATATAAAAACCATTACAAATAAGCTAATCTATTCTGCAAAGAGTGAATTTTGCATATGTTTGTGGCCTAGATTAGCTGAATTTAAACTCCAAAATAGTCATAAGAACCTTGTGGAATTGTCAGAAATATTGGGTTTTTTTTTTTTTCTACACAGTCTTAAGTGGTAGCTCTCAACTCCGAGCCAAAGAAAGTTTAAATTATAGAACATACGTTCTCAATTTTTAGATCATTCATTGCTAGGGATGCCATCAAAGGAAAAGCCTTAATACATCATAAGCCCCCAACTTGAATCCTCTTTTCTATCTTTGCCATTAATTCAGATATAAACCACAACATATAGGATAATTATGAGCACCTTAATGTTCAATTATGTTCGGTAAAGCACAGACCAACAAAATCTTTCCAACAAATTTTACATAATGCCCAAGTAGTACAAAAGGTTCATCCATATCAAAGTGATATAACAAAAAATGGTTGCCAAGAAATTCATTCATGCTACAGAAATCAGAGTCTCTTCTCACACTGTAATATTACTAAAGTCAAATTCCAGACTCAGCAATTAGTTATTGTCCAATTCAATGAAAAGAGTAATTCCTTTTAACTACAACTACAGTTTTGCCTTCTTTATTATTTCATCTTTAATCCACTCTAAATGGCATGGTTAGTTGATGTAAGAAGAGAACAGGTGAGAGAACCTTCGGACACATAAATTCCAAAACTCAGCATTCCTACAATCGTATAAGCACAATAAGAATAACCAGTGTTAAGCAATCAGAGAAATAAATTGCAAGGATAGGTACCTTCTTCATCCGGGTTCTGACTTCAGATTTCCTTGCTTTATTGTAAATTCGCCTTTTCTCAGCCTGACGAGCTCTCTTAGCAGCTGAATCAGCCTTCTTTTTTGGTGCAGCCTCACAAAGAACAGTTCGACGAATGGGATTCTGAGTCATTGTGCTAAAAGACAGACACCCTGAAACAGAAACCCCACCAAAAAAACACCACACAACTCAAAACTCATAATCTCAATTGCCACAAAAAGCTTAATTCATTATCTAAATTTTAATTATTCATTAACAAAAAAAAAGGGACCAAAACTACATTTATACAATAGAAAAAAATCACTGAATTTGTAAACAAGCTCGATTGAACTGCCAAGAACATCTAGCATAAAACAAGAAAAGGGCTTAAATGGGGTTTGGAAATGCCAACAAACCTAGAAACAGAAACTTAAACATGTCAACTATTCCAAGAATTTGTGTGTTGCAATGAAATGATAAGAAGAAAGCTGCGTAAACAATCAATGTTCATTTTTTTCCTTCCCCCCCCCCCCCCCCCCCCAAACTTTTAATGACCCGTCAGCTGAGAACTAAAATAGTTATAGAACTTTCACCATATTTTCACATCTAAAAAACAAAAAGAGAAATGGGTATTGCAAAAAACATGATAACATGAAAATAAAAGAGAAAAGGGGTTACCTTTGGAGAAGAAATTGTGAGAGAGGTTGTTGGAGAAACTTAGAGTCTTAAAAGCACTGGAATGTTGATGCAAAGCATAAGAAGAAGAGTTGGTGCTGTTTCTGAGTGAAAGGCTATTGAGCTTTGACTGAAGAGAGAAGCACGAAGAAGACAAGCAACAGTTAACTGCACTCGCCATCTCTCTCTTCCTTTCTGTCTCTCTTTACCAAAATGAAATTTGAGCTCTATGTTTCTTCAGGCTATTCTACTTATCCAATGTCCGTAGGGAGGAGAGGGAAAGCTTGTGTGGATATTTTTATAGTTCCTACTTTACCACTGCTGCCCTCTCAAAACACCGTCGTTTTGCAGGTCTTTGATGCTGTTTGGTCCCAGAACAAAAATTAAAATCTACACAAATTATTTCAGTTTGATTTTCATTATAATATAACCTTTATATTATATTTTGATTCCATAAATTAGAAGTCATAATCTTCAGCTTATTTAAAAAATAGTTATTTATAGAACAAAAGTGATTGTTTATAACATCGAACATTTGGTTCGTTAATAAACACATACACTCTCGATTCAAAAATATACATTCTCGACTCAAAAGAGATAAATTTGAATCCTCTTTTCTCGAATTAAAAAAAAATGTACTTGATGCGTGGGGTTTTGGAAACTCTTTTCACATATTCTGATATGTCTCATGAAACATAGTAAATTATTAAGTGTTAGCAGTTTGGTAAAATTTACAAGGTCCTTTTCAAGTGAAGAACCAGTGATTATCTCAAAGATGACAAAGGCTCTTGTCTAAAAGAAGCCCCATGATGTAACCCAATGTGCTTGCAAGAACCTAAAATCTTTCAGCTGTCATCACTACCGGAGCTGCTTCAGTATGTTTTCTTGTCAGATATGGACCTCTTTGAACAGCTTCTTGCAACTGCAAGAGCAGAAAGGAAAAGAATTGAAAAATGTCATACAAGGTATAATGATTGCTATATACAATATGTTATGAAAAGGGTATAAAGTACGGTAAGTAAAGTACATTATTTTGTATGAATTTGGGGTCTCTTTTCACAGCACCGTAAAGTTAGTGTCATGCCATTGATTAACAGTTAACAGAACTGAAATGCAGAAGAAAATGGAGGTAGCGTACACATCAGTTTATGACTAACCTTCCCAGCTATACCAGAAAGCGCAGGGTCGCTAACAAGTTTACTTGGCATGAATGCTCTGTGGATTGCCTTGCAACATTTATATCTAGCCTCCATACCTGAATAAAATAAAAGAGGTATATTGTCACTGCCATAAGTCAAGCAGAGACAATGTCAAACACAAATAACAACACAAACCAGGATACATGGACGTTTCAGATTTTTTTTTTTTAATAATTAGAAGGTTAGACAAGAAATAATGATCAATCAAATTTTGGATGTATATGAAAGCTAGGGTTGTTCAAAAGAAAGAAGACACTACGATTAGACTTTCACATTCAATTTGGAAAAGCAAGGAGGTAATCTTTTATGATGCCAAAACAAATATACCTATTTTTGTAGTTTCAGTTGCTGGATCAGTCACCATGTTTATTATCTCCTGTTTTGAGCAAATCTCCATCAGGCACCATGTTCGAGCTACTAACCCTGTTATCACTCTGTACCCCTGTTATCAGCAAAAGCAATACCATGTTAATTTCTTGACGAATGGTCATTTAGATTAATTGTTGAGAAGAATAACTCACTGCCAGACGAAATTCTGCAGCCTGTTGAAGAACTGATAGGAAAAGACCCTGCCAATCATGCAAAAACAGTAGAAAATAAAGCTTTTCTTTTTTGGAAAATATCAGTGAAGCTGCACTGTGAATGATTATAATTGGCTTTCATGAAACATTTCATCATACAAAACAAAGACATACCACTAGTACCTTAGAGAAGAAAACATGGTAACTTTTTGCTTATGCTCACTAAATAAGTATGGATCACAGTCAATGGACTGACATGGAACAATGTCCTTGAAAATAAAGATACCAAAAAAGAGATAATACTCAAAAAGTTGCTTACTGATGGTGTCAGCTTTGAGCTTTCTGATGCTGCTTCATAGATCAAACGTCGAAGGCTTTCTTCTGCATCACTGCTTAAGATTACACTATCCTCAGGCCGGTTTTCACCCGCGACATTCCCCAATGCATGTAATGCAGCCTGAATTGCAATATAAAATCCCTCAGAAATATTAAAGTGAAGATGCATTCTGTAAGGTTCTTATGTAGAACACGCTCCATACAAGATCAATTTCAAGACAAAATTTTCCAGATCAGTCATAATTTATACAAATTACATCTAATTTTCATGTACTGACAAGAAGGAATCAGCCCAATGAAAACCACTATTTCCTGTGAACTCCTTGGACATTTTAAATATTAGGGTGCAACATTTCTCAAGCTCCAAGAAGAAACAACACAGGTTACGGCTAAAAGGACCACACAAATAACTGGAAGACAAACAAAGTTAATGGTCAAGAAAACAAGGGCAAGGGAATGGTTAAATGTCCATTAATAACGAAACTAAAATAAATATTAAAAAATCCTTATTCACACATATGTCCTCTAATTTGAACCTCCAAGCTCATAGAGAAACAGTCATGCATGTTGATAGGTGAATTAATCTGGATAGTTTAAGACAGCTGACAGACAATTGGGTGCTTATTTATGAACAGCTTTGTACTGGTTTAACGACCTCTACATTAAGTCAGGTCGTTAACGAATCCACCAAAATATCACAAATCAGGATAACATAGAATCATGTGCATAGTTGTATTAGTGATGTATTTTCTGTTCTTAATCAACTGATTCAAAGAGCACTGAAGCATATCAGGTAAAATGACATATAAGAAATTAAAATAAACATTCAAAAAGCAAAAGAATTTAATATGCTGACCAGCTGTTTACCACGTCCTTGCCAATCAAATGCAGCATGAACTATATGCCTTGCAGCAGGCGGAAAACTTGACAGTAGTAACACAGCTCCTTGGATTGCTAAAAGCATCAGAAAGTAGTTGGAGAAGAAGAAATCAGATATAAACAACAATCATTTCACGATTATTAAACATGCTGGACAAGTTCTTCTTATAGTCCCTATCTTGGGATTTTTTTCCAATAAAAACCAAATGTGCAATGTACATTCAACCAGTTTGTTAAAGACATGATAAAGTATGTTAAGCCTCCAACTTAAAACCAATTGACAATAGACGGGGAAGCCCAACCATGATATAAGACCACAATGTACCCTAAACCAAACCCAGGTTATTATAACATGGAGCAGGTGCTTTGGGGCAGGCGTCTACACACGTGACAAGTAATTGAATGAACCATTTTTATTAAAACCATATAGGGAAATTAAATAATCAAATGGAAACTAGATCCAACATAAAGCAAACTGAACAAATTCTTAAGACCATAGTAAGAATAGGAATAAATTCGAAGTGAACTAGCGACAATATGAAAGACTATTACTGAAGCAAATAACTAAATCAGATGGTAGTCATTTGCAATTGCATAGCCTAATCAAATACTTACACGATCCTATTTGTCCAAGGGCTTCAAGTGCAGATTCACATTCATCTGTATCTTGACTGTCCAACAGGCCAAGTCTCACATCAATGGCTGAAATCACACCTTTGGCACCTGAATATAGAAAGAAAAAGAACGCTTGAAAAAATCACATATCCATATGCATCAAAATCTAGGTCAATTTTCAACACGATTTTTCTTTTTAAACTTGGTTATCACTTTTCTTGTACCAGCACTTGCAAGTCAAACTAGGGAAACCTACAGGTGGGTGCAAGGTGCTAACACGATATTGTCTACAGTACCCAGGATCAAAAGGCCTAAATATATAATCACATACAAATCCAATGAACACAAGACAAACATTAAAAATAATAGCAATAATTGCAAGTTCAGTCTTTTACACTTCTAGCAATGCTTAATTCTAAGTGAAAGTAAGTTCAGAACTCCAAGGCATAAGCCTTACGCAGTTCATCAGCAAACATGTATATGTTCTCCTTGGATAAAAGCCTTCCACTTATCATCATTGCTCTTGATCTTAGAATTCCTTCCATCGATGAGTTGCTATAAAATAGCAGTTACAGAAAAAACAAGGAAACACTGGTCATAAAGAAAGTAACAATTGTTTTTGTAAAAGGGAAAAAAAAAAGAAAAACAGATTGGGAAACAATTAATCCTCAAATAGGTACCTGATTATAGAATGAAGTAATTGAAGGGTGGTCCTAGACAAGAACTCTGTACCATGCCGGATCTCAGTCAACTGCATATCTGTCTAGTCAATATTTCATACACAAATGCACACAGAATGACGTGTTTTGGGGTGGGGGTGGGGGCTAAATGGCTAACCTCATACAACAGCTCCAAAGCACTGAGGGTTACAAGGGTATCATTTGAATTCCTGATTTCTGTCTCCAATAAACTGAGCAAATTTGAATTGTATATTACTGAAGCTACAGAGCCGGAAATAGAGAATAACTTCACTATCAATGATAAAATCCGCACACGCCCCTGAAATAAGATTGGGAATACAACTACAAATAAATTTCCAGAGAGCATATATGATTGTGAACCACATAATATGTAAAATTTTACAAGTGTTTAGCAGGGACTTCAAACTTCTAGCTATTGCAAACATTTACAAATGATAGAAGTAAAATCCTTCAAGATAGACATCGACAAAGAGTATCTTTCTCAGAATAAATAAAAGTTCAGACATCTTTTTGACGTTGATACAGTCAAAAGAAGCTACAATATCACCTAGTAAAGTAAAGGAATTGACTGATCAACTGATAGTTTTTCAATAATATGCCCATATATATAAGAAAAGGATTTCGAAACCAACAGAGAAGACCCATGAGACCAAAAATGAAAAAAGTCAAACAGCACATAACAGAATATATCATACCAATGATGAACATCGTGATGCTAAGTTCCCAAGATGCGTAACTTCATTTATGTTAGCTGGAAAGATGATGCCCTCCATAAAGTTTCACAAAAATTGAAAACCATAAGTAAACTGAAACTATAACAATTCGATGCAATAATAAAATCTTAACCCCACAGAGCAAGTAATTGAAATTCAAGTCCTTACCATGCCTTCAGGAAACTGAGCTAAGTTCTTGATTGCATCAATTGCAGCAGTTGCAACTTGTTCATTGCTACAGGTGAGTAACTTAACATTACCGTATGCAAAAAAATGCTTTCAAACAACTAAATGGACATTAAAAG